CGACCCATCCTTGCCCTGCGCCCCTGCCCCATTAACATTTTTAAAAAAATTGAATACAGACCCGCCCTAGTCCTGCCCCATTGTCATCCCTAATATTACAACACTTTTCCCATACCCAACACAAGTAAAAAACATAACTATTTATAAGTGTAATCTCTTTCATGAAACAAATAATAAGGTAGTGGAATAATAAAATAGTAGAACATGGACAGGTAATTACAAAATATAAGTTTTAGTGGTAGATCATGGCATTAGTGATTTCATGAGTTACACCAAGGATAATGATCATTTTCTTGCAAATTTATAGCCACTATCTCGCAAGAAATAATGCACCTTAATATTAAAAAACGCATAATACCAACAATTGTGACTAGACGTAGTCTCGATTTTGGAATTTTACTTGAACATATTTGATTGGTTGGAATTTTTACACTCTAATAAAGTGGTTAATGAAAAAAAATAGATCTTACCTTTCAAAAATAAATTTTACATCGAAAAAATGATAATTTAATTATCTTTTTAATATTTAGGACTTTCAAAATCAATTAAAATTCTCTAGATAAAATGCGAGATCAGACTTTTTATCTTTTGAACATAGAATTCAAACAGAGAACCCGACTTATTTGTTTTTATATAAATGAATAAAGTGAAAAGACATTACTTTATAGTAATGCAATGTAATAATTTAATAAGTTGTCATTGTGACAATCTATCGCTAACACCGCCGAAGTGTAAGCAACTCTCTCTTGCCATAATTCCTTCTTGGGAAGGAAAATCTAGAAAAGTTTTAACTATTCAAAACATGGAATTAAAGAAGAAGAAATAAGAGAAAGTGTGAAAATAAATTTGTGGTGTAATCAAAGATTATGGGGCCCATTAGTTTTTCTTCTTTACAAAATGCCCTCACTTGACTTTGTTAGGCGGACCAGTCTAATGACTAAAACTATCTTTTGCGTCTAACAAAGTCAAGTGAGGTTATTTTGTAAAGAAGAAAACTAGTGGGCCCCTTAATCTTTGATTGCTCCATAAATTTATTTTCACACTTTCTCTTACTTCTTCTATAACTCCATGTTTTGAATGGTTAAGCTTTCTAGACTTTTCTTTGAAAGAAGGAATTATGGCAAGAGATAGTTGCTTACATTTCGGCGGTGCCAGTGACAGATTGTCACAATGACAATGCAGTGGCAACTTATTAAATTATTATATTACTATAAAGTAATGTCTTTTCACTTTATTCATTTATATATAATAAATTAGTAGGGTTCTCAATTTGAATTCTATGTTCAAAGGATAAAAAAGTCGATCTTGCATTTGTTTAAAGAATTTTAGTTGATTTTAAAGTCGTAAATATTAAAAAGAAATGGGACAAATGAATTTGAGAGTTGAGACCAACAACTTAAACCACTACTACACAGAGCTGACACTAGCACAATCCATAAAATAAGAAATGTTAATGAAAAAATCTCCTTTAAGCCAACAAAACATATTCTAAAAATATCTAAACTTAAAACAACATTTAGCTCTTTTCTTCTTTGAAAGCATCTTTTGTTCCTTCAAGACTTGTTATTCTCCATCTAGGTCTATACAAATCAGTCAAAGAAGAACTATATTGAACAGTCAACACATCCCCAAATGGATGGCTAAGTCGTTGAAGCATAAGAGTAAAACCAGGAGATTCAGGTTCAAATCCTAGCTACAACTTACGTAGCACCTCAGAGAATTTAGCTAACTTTAAACTCAACTTAATGTTTGAGTGGCTCTCCTATTATGATGAGTTACACGTATATGTATGTTATGGGTTATGCAGATTAAGAAAATGAATTTTTTATATAATGAGGGGAGCTACCGGATTCATTTTTCGTGACCAATAAGATTGGAGTTCTTATAACAGGTTGAGTAAATAGATGTCAATTTATAGGATGGAAGACCCAGGGTCTTATATAGTACTTTTAAGTGAATAATTAAGCTCATTATATATTCTGAAATAGGCAGCTGCATTTAAGATTTTAGGAGAGAAATTGGAACGATAAAATGGGCCAGAATCCATATGATTAGAATGATGCCTAGAGGGTGATTGGGAATAATTTCAAAAGGAGAACATCCAAGATTTGTTTGTCTTTGTCTAAGAGAACGTACAACATGCATGTGTATATGTTGCCCCACTATCCATCACTTGGCTTTAAAAATTGTTACTTTCCGTACTATATAAAGAAGGATAAATAGGACAATTCCAAAAAATTCAAGGACGGCTCAAATGAGTCATTTTTTGTCCTTTAAAGTTAAACTCCAAATTCCTTTTTTGGGTATGTTGTTGGAGAGACACCCCGCAGTTATATGTTGTTCCAACTCTTTTGCAATGTCGAAATGGGGGAAGATAACACAAGTTTTATGAACAAAAAAATAGGAAATGAAAAAATCACTATTAGCTCTTCTTTGAGGTAACTCATATAATTTCTTTGTGAGTATTACTATTATTGATATAGCTATATCTAATGTTTAAGATAAAATATTGAGTTTAGAAGATGATTTTGAGTAAAAAAAAAACATTGGATTAAAGTATTACACAATCCTATAAAACTTGAGATTTGAATGAAGAGGATGATTAATAGTGTTTTCAAAATTTAGAGATGAGTTGTTTCAAAATAATGTACGCTCACTCGTCCCCTTGAACATACAAATACATTTTCAAATTCATTTCAATATACTTGAAATCATTCTTTAATTCAAAAGCCTTAAAGTGGAGTGAATCTCACCAGGCTTAAAGCTCAACCCTTCCAATACCTGGAACAATGTCGAAAGTCTCCACCGACAATCAATCGACAAAAATTCTTGCTTACTTAAAATCAACTTAACTTGTTTGGGTTCAGCCCTTGGCTATAAGTCCTTTAAAACTCAACTTCTTCATTTTCGACATGAGCCACTCCATAAATCTATTTAATTAGTATCTATCCATTCATTTAAGTCGTTAATATCATTAACCAACTCACATCTAAGTTTTGGAAACACTATTCATCATCTTTTTATTCAAACTTTAACTTTAAACACCCAAGTTTCATAAGTTTGTGTAATACTTCAATCTAATGGTATTTTCTACTCAAAATCATCTTGTAAACTGAATCTTCATCTTAAACTTTACATATAATTATTCATATTTCAAATAATAATAAAAATCACAAAAAAAATTATATACGCTACTTCAAAGAAGAGAAAATTATGATTTTCCACTTGCTGATTTGGCAAAACCTTTGCTCGATTCAAGCTCTATTATATCCCCCCCCCTCAAGCCCCCATCTTGACATTGCATAGAAAGAGTTGAAGCAGCACCTAACTGCTGCATTTCTCTCCAACCAAGTGACCCAAAGGAGAGATTTGGGGTTCCAATTTTAAAGGACTAGAATGACCCCTTTTCAACCGTCTTTGAATTCCCTAGAGTACCACTAAGTAAAGGATAGTGGGCCATCAATATAAATATATATGCTTTTTGTACGTTTTTTAGACAAAGACCAAGTAAGTTTGGAATTTTCTTTCTTTATGGACACTAAATAGAGTTCCTTTCCAAGCCATCACTTGTATAATCCTTCAGAATTTGACCAATAATTTATATATGCTCATTATAGTTAGTATTTTGTAGGCTCATGGCTACCACACAAGAAAAATTGAGCATATGTCGTGTTCAAAATTCTTTGACCAAGGCAAAAGTTTAGTTTTTCTTTTCCACTCAAAGAGATCTTTTAAGACACCCTTAGGTCTAGAGTCACGCCATTATGGGCTTGTCCCATGAATTCAATACATGCGGAATTAATATTTAATCGTTTTTGAACCTCAATTTCTTCTCGGACAAAGCTTCAGTACAGTGTTTGTATTTATCCTCGAGTTGTTGTATAAAGTTCATTTACCACTACTATTTGACGTCTTAAGCCCAAGCTTAAAAATTGATTTAGCTACTTATTATCTCATAGTTCCATTTATCAATTGGCGTATCAATAGGCATATCCATATACACATATATACATATAACATTAGAATAATAATCACGACCACCTTCATGTGGGTTCCTACGCATCCTGGGAGTACCTTAAACTCGTCATTAGGCACATAATTAGCCCAAATAAATATTTAAAAGCTACGAAGCTTTACAGTGTGAGCCTATCTCTTTCATCCTTGGTGGACAAGTTTACCATACACCCATGTGCATCAAGGCATTGACGGAGCTGGGGTTCAATTGAATCTGCTTCGTCGAAAAATTACACTATACAAAAAGGATAAAACCCAATGTTTTTTTGTATACATAAAAACTATTAAATCCCCTTGACGTAGGTTCATATCTTAGGTCTTAAGTTTTATACATCTTTTTTTTGAATTCCCTTACTAAATTCCTTGCTCCGCTACTGCATAAAGGTGCATTCAACCTGACTCGAAAACTCAACACCAATTTAATTATGGGATTTTCAGATTCATCATGAATCCCTTCATCCCCCCCCCCCCCC